TTTTTTTTTTTTTTTTGGACTGAAGGACACAGGAGGCTTTACAAGGATCTAAAGACCCCCGTCTCCAGCCCCGCCCCCTCTCCACCTGCCCTGGGTGCTCACTCTGTTCCGTAATCATCCCCCAGCCAGTTATCCAGCAGGAATAATAGGGTTCCAGGTTCAAGTTCCTCTCTGGCAGACAAACAGGGAGCACATGGGAGTTGAACTCCACAGGCCGGTGCAGCTGCATCAGAACGATGTCTCTTGACATGCGGTGAATTTTGTCATAGTCTTCATGGACAATTAGCTTATTCACTGTCATCTGCAGGCTGTAGTTTGTGGGATTGCTCAGCTGGTTGTAGCCCAGGAGGATTCGGTAGTCAGATGGGTTGTGGGACCTATTGGAGGTCAGTTCCTCTGAGCATTGGGTTGGCACCCTCGCCCCAACCGCTCATCCACCTGGCAGGCAACCAGACACACCACCCTGTCATTTAAAGGGGTTATCTGTGTTCCCCTCCTACTATTGAGAGAGCCTTTCTCTTGAGGTGGGCTTGGCTGCTGCTCATGGCCTCAGGACATTTGTCCTTCCAGCAGTCTTGGTGGCTCAGCTAGCTTATCTTAAAATCCCAAGAGCAGAGATGTGATTATGGAAAGACACATTCAGGTGCATTAGACTGTACCCCTTTTCCCTGGAAAAGAGCCTGGCCTATTTCCAGCTTGGCCAGCACATCTTGCAGCCCCAGGGCCTGCTCACTGCACCTCCTTGGCTAGGGTGACCCCTCCCCCAGTTCTCACACACCGTCTTCTTCAGAGGCTGCCCCACCTCAGGCTCAGGCAAGGTGTCCTGTTGTGTGCAGTGAAGGATGGGCCCTGCCTGAGGATGGGAGTCAGATGGACATGAGAGGGGAGCGCAGTGAGGGGCTGTGGCCTGCCAGGAAGAAGGCGCCCCTGAGGCCACGGCGGGACAGCAGCACAGGGCACCCGACAGCAGCAACCATCCCAGGGCTTCACTCACACCCCCAGGAGCGAAGCCTGCAACAGAAAGGCTGCTCACCCCTAGCTCCTTCGGGGCTCACCACATCCCTCCCTCCTGCACTCCTGCCCAGCAGCTGCCACCCTGGGGAGCGACCTCACACCTTTGGAAGCAGTGAGCTGCCGAGGTCACCCAGTTTCTGTCGATGAGGGAGGCTCCACAGATGTGCCTGCCGTGCAGGAGCAGACTGGCCTGCCACGGCCACCGTTCGGGGTTTGCTGTCCTACCTCCAAAGATCTTCCCTGTATATTTAGGCCTGCCGCATACTGTGAAGACAACCCCAGCCAAAGGCACCTGGACTCAGGACTCTAGCCCTTGGTGCCCTGCATGTAGGCAACCACAGGACACAGGGAGCACTTAGCCACTCCTCTCCCTTCTCAGGTCCAGGAGAAAGTGACACGGGCCCTGGACTCGGTGAGTACATGGCTGCAGAGATCTAGGGAGGAAGGTGTTCCCTGAGCCAGGCTCTCCTGAGCCCTTGCTCACTCAAGACAACAGCTGGAAGAGCAGAAACTGAGGCAGGCCGAGGTGAGGGCACAGAGCTCGAGGCCAGGCTGGAAGGGAGAGGTGTGCTCTCCCGTGCTTTCCCCCGGGCAGAATGTGTGGCACTGACGCAGCCAGAGACCCAGTGGGAAGGAGCGGCAGGAAAGAGGGCCCATTTACGACCTCCCCCCATACCAGAGGCCAAGCCTCCCAACTGCCCACTTCTCTGCGCCCCCAGACCTACGCTTAGCCTGGCTGAGGTCGTCTTGGCACATGTGGGGGGTTCGGGAAAGGGAGGGGACAGGAGAGGCTGGGGAGCAGCTGCTCCGGGTGGGGCTACCTCTGCCCCCCCACCCCACCCCTCTTACCTTCCGACAAGGGCTGAGTGTTCGGGGCGGCCAATGGGAAGAAGTGCAGCCAGAGGAGAACGGCTGCGGGTGCCCAGCGCCTATGCCCCAACAAGCCGGAAGTCTGCTCCCTGGCGCCCCCCATCTGGCCACTGGCATCTGTAACTCTGAGCGCATGCGCAAGGGCCTGGCCAACGGCGGGTCCGGCCGGTCACCCTGGGGTGTACAGGGGCTGAGGGCTCCCACCGTGCTAAGCCCTAGGTCTCATCACTACAGGGAGCGCTTGGGCTGGTGGGAGAGGCGGGATGTGGGAGCCGCCACCCCATAAGCCTTTAATGATGCATGCTATTTACCTGGGCAAAATGAGTTGGCCACATACCAAAGCCACATGAGGTATCAAAAACTCTGTTACCACCCTTAGTTCTGCTCTTTGGAGTCTTGGTCCTTCGTTTTTCGTGGAACGCAGCGCACATTTTTATCTGAGCAGTCTTGTTTCCTGTAAGGAGAATTAGGGCAAGGTTGGGGTGGATTATTTCCCAGCAGGCTTCGGGTGTTCTGAGCTTTCACTTAATTAAACAAAGCCACACCCATAGATCTTCTGCAGTAAAAAGATAAAAGAGACACCAGAGTCACAGTGCCCTTAAGTGTCCTGAAGGCCCTCTGAAGTCCTGGAGCCCTACGAAGACCACCCACTCACTTGAAAGGGTCCTTTGCTTGCCTATCTGGATCTCATGGTGGTTTTCTGCTCTTCGCTAAAAATGGTATCTTTTGACATCTGAAGAAGCTGAGAATTTTCAAAAGCATCCAGTCCTCGCTCCATACAGCTAAACAGTTCTCCTCTCCATGTATCCATGTCCCCTCACGTTGCGCTATAACAAGAAGAAGAAACCAGATAGCTAGATATTTGCCCTGTTGTGTGGCCAATACGTTGGAATGAAAGAGAAATAATTTCAGAGGTCTATGAAATCAAAGGGCAGAGTTGCTGGTGACAGCAGAGGAAAACCAGCATTGACTCACATGCTAGAAGTCTAGAAAGAAGGAAAGAAAGACAGAAGAGAAAAGGAGCCTTATTGGAAGAGGGCCGTGATGTCGATTGAATTCTGTCTCTCCAGAAGATACGCTGGAGTCGCAGCCGCAGGTTCCGGTGGATGTGAACGGATTTGGAGGTGGAGCCTTCGTGGACCGAGGTATGGTGATGCCATACTGGGTTAGGCTTGGCCCTGAATGCAACGACTGTGTCCTCACAAACAGAGACACACTAGGAGACTGTGTGTGCCATCCCGGGATGCTGGAGGCCGGACCTCCAGATCCCCAGAGGGTCGCTAAAGGCAGGACTAAGCGTGGCATCCCTACCTTCATGCTTTATTCGCTTTCTTATTGCCCGAACACTTCTCCGGGTCCCAGTCCTGCTAGCTCTGCACACATGTGGGTTAATCCCTGAAGCAGTGTCCGTCTAAGCTGGCAGTACGTGGTTTCTTCAGCTTACCTTTGCCCAGTACCTCGTTTCTCTTCAGGGCCGAGGACTGAAGGGTGAGGGAGGTATGCGTTAAGATTTCCAGGGGCTTTATTGCAGACCCCTCAAAGGATGCCTAGAAGTCTCCAACTACTGTCCTAAACCTGCAGTCACCTTGGGCTCCAGGAAAAGCAGGAGCTGGCAAAAGCTCACCGTAGAATTGTGCTGCTACCTACAAGTTACCCACAGTGTAAGCCAAGGCCTCCCTCACAGAGCAAGCACTGCAGGCGTGCTGGCCTCCCCTTACCTCACAACTTTCCTTGCTGCTCATCTCCCTGACTGGGATTTGGGGGCATGCACCTGAGCTTGGTCAGCAAGGATCCTAGGGGTGGGGTTCTCTTCCTGAAGCTCCATTCACAATGTGACAGCTGAAGGAGATTTGTGTAATACACACACAGGCCATGGACCTCCAACAATTGCCACAACCATGAGCAGCCAAGAAGGAGGCCTAGGAGACCCTCCCTTCGGGATTTTAGACAGAGCAGCATCTGTTGATAATTTTGTACCTCTAGAACAGTGAAAGAATTAAAAATCCTTCATTTAAAAATTTTGTTTTGTTGTTTTCTGAGGTGGGGTTTTGCTATATTGTCCATGCTGAACTTGAAGTTGCTGGGCAGACCAGGCAGGGCTCAAACTTGAACTCCTTCTTGCCTCAGCTTCCTGAATGCCAAGGGTACAGTCAGATAGCACAGTTCTCAGCTATCTAGGAAATAATTTTTAAATATCAGCTATTCATGTAAATAAGCCCCTGCCAACTTGCCAGCCACACACGCAGGGTGCAGCTCTGACCAGGCCTCTTTCAGACCTCCCCTCCACCGTTCTGAAGGATGCATTCCTTGTTCCTCCCTTGCCTTCACTAGAGCATCCTTAAAGTCTAGGTTTCTAGAAACAATCTATGCAAGGAGATTTGGGTTTTCTATAAGGTGATTGCATTTTCTCTGTGATAGTCCTCAAAATTCTTACACCATCTATTCACATCCCAGTTTCAAAAATCACTGACACATTTTTAGCCCCAACATCCATCTTTGGCTTGTGTTCCACAGTTTCGGTTACTATGACAACTTTGATCCAAAAATACTAAATGAAAAATTCCAGAAAGAAACAATTCATCAATGTTAAATTGCTCACCATTCTGAGTTGCATGATGAACTGGTCCCCTCTATCTGGAACACGAATCATCCCTGTCCCCGGTGTCACCTGTGCTGCACACACCACCTGCCTGCTTGGCATGTAGTAGCTGCCCATCAGTTGTCAGAGAGCAACGGCAGTACCACAGTGATTGGGTTCAAGTAACCCTTCTTTTACTTAATAAGGGATCATAAGTATAAGCATAGTCATGAGGGTCCCTGGGACATCACAAAGGGAAGTAGTGAAGTGCTTCCTTTTTTTTTTTGGCAGAACCAGGGATTGAACTCAGGCCCTTGCGTTTGCCAGGGAAGCGCTTATTCCACTGAGCCATCTCCCCAGCCCCAGTGCTTCCTTTAAGTGACAAGATGAAAGCATAAGATATTTTGGGAGAGAAAACATATTCATAATTTTTTTGGTACCAGGAATCAAACTCAGGATCTTGCACTTAGCAGGTGGGCAGTGTGCTTCTGAGCTGTGTCTCTGGCCCTCACAATTGTTTATTACAGTGTAGTGTAATTGTTCTGTTTTGCTACTGTTGTTGCTAATCTCTTCCATGCCGAGTTGATACATTAAACTTCATCATAGGTATGTATGTACAGAGAAAAACCAAGTACATGTACATTTGGTACTGCCTATGGCTTTAGGTTTTCACTGGGGGTCTTGGACACATCTGTGGAAAAGAAGGGGCTCCTATTACATCATGGCGGCATTCCAATCCTCAATCCTGTAACTGAAGTTTCTATTCATTTTTTGTTGCCCTTTTATCACTGTGAAAAAACTCATGCCATAGTAAAATTATAAGAGAAAAGTTGTGTTTAGGGTTTCAGTCAACAGTCGATGGTCCTGTTGCTTTTGGTCCTGTTGCTTTCGTGGCCTGTGGCTGGAGTGTGTGGCAGAGGAAATGGCTGCTCTGGTCAAAGCAGTCAGGAAGCAAGGAGGGAGTGAGGAGGCCAGAACCCTGCACCCACAGGAGCTGAGCTGCCCTCCCCAGCCCCACTTGCTAACACTCTGCCAGCTCCTCCAGCACCACAGCTGGGACCGAACCTGCAGTGCAGTGGCTGAGGGAGGCTCCAGATCCAAGCGGTAGCAGTTTGTAGCTCAGTGCCCTGTAACACAGGTCTGGAACATCCCCCAAAGCTCCACTTTTAAAGGCTCCTTCCCCAACTGGGTGCTCCTGGAGGTGGAACTTGAGGAGGTGGAGCCTCAAGGGAGCGCATCCTTGCAGAGACAGTGGGCTCCTCCTTCCCCTCCTCCTTCTGCTACTCCTCCTCTTTCTCTTCCTCTTCCTTTTCCTTTTCTTCTTCTTCCCCAGCTCAGCCTGCCTTGGGGGCAGGGCCGGCCTGGCATGTGGTGCCAGGGATCAAACTATGGTCCCTGAGCTTGCCTAAGCGGGCGCTTTAGACCCCTGAGCTATTTCACACCTCTCCTTCCTGTCCTTTCAACTCCCACCATGCTGAGCTTCCCCACATTATCCCCAACAGTGACAGGGCCAAACAACCATGGGCTGAAACCAACACTGGGAGCCAAAACCCTTCCTTTTTATTGATGATTATCTTGGTATTTGTTACTCTAATGGCGAGCTAGCTCAGGCGCTGTATAACAAGTTACCAGAAATCTAGTGATACAAAACCTCACACTCTGTACAAATTCCACAGCATGACTGTCCCTGCTCGGTCAAGTGACGTCAGCTGCCTACACACTAGCTAGAGGCTCAGGGGAAGAAAGTGCCTCTGAGATCATTTAGGCTTTCGGTAAAATTGGGCTTCTCACAGTTGAGTGACTAAGTTACCCATTTGCTGTTGGAAGCTACTTTCCATGTACAAATCCCAGATACGAGTCCCAGGTCCTGCCCACCGGCCAGTCCACCAAGGGCTGTCAGGAAAGGCTGGTGCCAAATTTTCCTCAGGCCTTGGATCTCCAGGCAGTGTGTGACTTCCGGACTCCGCTGTAGAACATTCACACACAAGTAGACCAAGACCACCAAGGAGCACCGGCCTTCTGTGAACAGCAGCCTCCCTTGGAGCATGAGTTCATAATCTCTCAAACCCTGAAGGGCAAGAACTATCCACAGACGTGGAGGGCTGAGATAAAGGCTTCGCTCTGAAGTATTTTTTAATTTTTCTTTCCATCTTTCCTCTTTCCTCTTTCTTGCCTTTCAAAGGTTTCCTAACCTTAGCAAGGAATTTTCAAAACCTATCAGGTTTATCTCTCAACTTGTTAACTCATGGCATAAAGAGCCATGAATTTGTCTAACTTGTTTATGTAAGAATTCCCTAGTGCTTTTTGCCACCAATGTTGTTTTGGGAAGGCTATCTACATTGTAGTAGTGAGGTGCACACTGCACTTGACATGAGTATTACTGTTTGCTGTGTGTGTCCCTCTGCATTCAGTGTGTGTCCCTGTTACTCCTTGTGCTGCCCTTCAGAGCACATTCCCAGTAGTGCACTTGGCATCACCTTCTCTTGTGGGGTTCTAACTTGTTTTACCAACTCCATGTGCTCACT